TGATCAATTCATTTTTCTTTTCTTATACTTTTTCTTTGTCTGCTAGTCACTACTCTTATGTGATCTCTATATAATACAGTGTTCAGTGACTAGGTTCAGCAGCTTTCATCTTTTATGATTCTGTCTTGTATATTATACTGTCTCTCTTCACTCACTCAGATTACTACAGTAAACAGCTTATCAAAACTAATCTTATCTGATCTCTGAGTGTCTTCAGAAATTGAGATAACTTGATCTCATGTGTCTGCAGATGTTTCAGATAGTTTGTTCTCTGTGATCTCTGTGATTGAACTGGTGTAAACAGTTGAATTCAACTCTGAATCTCTTTTTCTTCTGTGATCTGATTCACATGCAAGTCTGTCCCTCTGAGACTGCTCTTTGCTGTGTTGCACTCACTGTCTGTGATGTGTTATTATACAATCAGCTACAGTCTCATCACTTATTGAAGTGTGATATTTATCTGATTTCTTCATTACTTCTCATTCTTTTCTTATAATTATGAAAAGGTTGGAATAAGTGAGATCATCTGATTTATAAGTATCTATGATTTCTCTTACTTTGTGAGACTTTTCAATTATAAGTCTCTTCTTTTTCAACACTGATGATAGTGCTGTGAATAATCATAATCTGCTCAGGTCTTGCATCTTTACTTTCATAAGTTATGAATCATTTATTAAGTTGTATAAGATCTGTCCCTCTGGTTCTTTCAATGTGTATATTCTCAGAGAATGTGATTTGAGTATTTTATATGACTTAAATCACCTAGGTTGGAACTTCTCAGAACCCTCATTGTATATGAGAACTCATGTTCTTATCTTGAGACTCAATTTCTTAACTAGTGAGTCTTGTATTCTTTTTAATTGAATTGCTCAGTTCAGAAGTAACTTGTTAGCTTTTGCATGTGTGTGACTGATCTCTTTCAATCTTGATTCTGCATTCATGACTGTTGCATCCGCAACTGCTGTTCTCTTTCTCATCTCTTTCAAAACATTCTCTGAGATGCGCGGATGCAATTCATATAACAGATAGAATGATGAACACTTGAAGACTGCATACTGTTGAATCCGCGTGGCTAATAGCACCTGTCTGAGATATTCATCTCATAGTCTTGTAGGCTTGCTCACTAGATATTTCATCAGCATGTTGTCCAAGATTTCATTCAAGCATTTCATCTTCTCATTTATCTGTGAGTGATATAATGTTGTTCTACAATGTCTTGTCTGTAACTGGCTCATGAAATGCCTTATCACTTCTTCTATGAGATTTGCATCATTATCAGTTAGAATCTTGCATGGCATTCTATAGTTAATATAGATCTTATTATATAGAAACTTCATCATCATCTTCTCTGTCATCTCTGAAACTGCTTTTGTGACTGGCCAGTCAGTAGTGTAATCAATAGCAGTGATTATTCATCAATTTTCATTTGATGTTTGCAGCAATATGTCTATGAGATTCATCTCTCATTGTTTGAACAATTGTATCATACACTTCATCTGATGTTGCACTTTCTCACATTCTAACTCTTTCTTAGATTCTTTCATGATCTGATAATTCAGACACTTGTGAGTATACATCTGAATATTCTCAATCATGCTTGGCCAGTATACTCTTAATTCAAGTACACTCATGAGTTCAGAGCTTTCTAAGTGACTGAATTTCTTGTGCATGTGAGTCATCAAGTTGTGTCTAAATGAATGTTCTAGATAGAGAGCTTCTGCATATTCTAGATCACAGTAAAGCATAACATCATTTTCTAATTTTCTCAGCTTGAAGTTCAGAAACATCTCTTCTACTGCTTTTATAAGATACTTATCATTCAATATCTTACTATTCTTCAAGTGAGAGATCATTGTGTTCACTCATTCTGATTCCTTGCATCTTCTCAGTGCATTTAAATATGAACTTCTCTTATATCTGATTTGCAGGACTCTCACTCATGAAATCAGGTCTGTAACTGATTGTATCAGATATCACAGTATTCAATCTCTTTCACTATTTGATATGAAGATTGTACACTTGAAACTCTGAGATTCAACATGCTAAGCATTTGAAAGATTTTATCATTAATTGTAGATAGATGAGGCTTTCATGATTCATAATCACTGTTATTGTATGTCTGTTATCAATATATCTATTTCATAATATCAGCATGTACTTAATCACTAGTAATTTCTTTTCATGCACTGAATAATTGAGCTCAGCATCTGATACTTTTCTATCATTATATGTCACTGAGTGCAGCTTGCTGTTCTTGCTTATCTGTAGAAGAGTGTCTCTGATAGCTCATTTGAATACATTTATCTCAATGTAGAAAGATTTATTGTGATCTGATTGAATAAGCACTGAGAATATTATTATATATTCTCTCAGTGTGAGAAAAGTCTCTTTATATATAGCATTTCAGATGATTGAATGAAACTTCTTCTTTCACAGATTTGTATCTGTTTCTCTTAAGAGATCTGAGAGTGATGTAGATATTTATGTGAAATTCTTGATGAATCTGTGATAATATGAGATTAACTCAAGAAACTGTTGTACATGATGTACATTTCTTAGCTGCAGTTAATTTACTATGATATTCAATTTCTCTGAGATGAGATGTATACAGTCATCACTCACTACATGTTCTATAAACTTTAACTCTTTCATTTTAAACACACACTTTATTGATTTGATATAGAGCTTATACTCTGTCAGAGTTGTAAGCACTTTATCAAGATACTTCAGATATTTATTATATAAGTTTGAGAAGACTAGAATGTTATTGAGATATATGAGATATGAGGTTTCATTCTGTTTATAAAGAATCATATTCATTATCATTTGAAAGATAGCAGGTGCATTTATCAGACTGAATAGTATTATCAGGAATTCAAACTTTTCTCATTGCATATTAAACACAGTTCACAGAACTGACAGTTTGTCTATACAAATCTGTCAGTATTCTGAGAGAAGATCAATCTTTAATAGATATCAGGTATTTTCAACTGTATTCAACTGTTATTGAATTCATGACAGTGAATATTCATTCTTGATCATAAGCTTGTTAAGTGCTTAATAATTGATACACATCTGTCACTCTTCATCTGTCTTTTTCATGAATAGAACTGGAAAGTCTCACACACTTAATGAGAGTTGTATGAGACTACATTCTAGAAGGTCTGTGATCTAATACTTCTGTTCTTTGAGATGTGTTTGTGACAGAGAGTATGTATTCTGATTGACTGGTTTTACATCCCCTGTGTCAATCTCATATACAAATCCTTATTCTGACAGCAATTTCAGTGAAAGATCTGTTCAGAAGATCTTCTCATGCTTCTTCAGAAGCTTCTTCATACTCTTATTCTTCTGCATATTCTTTATCTTGGTTTTCTTCACTTTCAGGTTCTGTATGATATACAGAATGCTTTCAGATAAGATCTTGTAAATTATTCTCTTTACTTATTAATGTGTAAGCAGATTTAATTCTTCTATATCAGAGATGTGAAATGTTCTTCTCATATCAGTTGATAGAATCATATGAATCATTTTCTTCCTATCAGTTAACTGTATATGATATGTATGTCATTGAATCTGCAGATTAAACCTTTGAAATCAATTAAGTCTGAGAATAAGATTGTATTTCACATTCTGCAGCTCTCACACCTAAATGTAGCAAGATCATTCTCTGAAGTATAAGAAAACTCTTACTCTTGCAGATGATATTAAATATCAGTTATCAGATAATCTTATATATCAGAAATTCTTCACTCAGCAGATCTCTTTCAGTCTTCAGATTATATAATTATTAATATATTGTATAGAAGCTTCTGTGTTCACTAATACTTTTACAGTCATCTCTTAATTCTTACTCAAGTGTCTCTTATACATTAACATTTCAGGTCTCAAGACATTGAGATGAGTGTCTGCTTCATTCTCACTTACATCTCAGTCAGAAGCCTGCTTTCTCTTAATATTTACAGAATTCAGAGAGTCTTCTAATGCAGGCATCTCTTTTACTTTGAAGACTTTTCATAGAATATCAGCAAGTGTCTCTGAGCTCACTGATTCTGCTAGTTTTTTGACTTTCTTACTTCTCTTAACTGTGCATGCTGTGTGTAATCTTTTATATTATGATTTTGATGTCTGCAGTTGAAGCAAGCTCAATACTCATGATATCAAGATTTTCACTCAGAGAATCTCTTTTTTAGAGAATTCAGTGCTTTATCAATAACATTCAGATCTAGATTCATCACATCTGAGTGTGTAGCTTATGTCATAGAAGTCTGATTACTCATTCTCTGCTGAGATATACTTGATTACAGTATTTTCTGTTGTAATTAACTCACTTGTTTCTGTACAATGAGAATGTTATATGCTTTCTTCACTATGCCTGACTGTGAGATTAAGTATTTTTATTCTGCTCTTAACTCAGGTATAAGATTATGAATGAAGATCTGTAAATAGAAAGATGTTGAAAGCTCTTCATTCAACATAAGATAGTGTAAACTGAAGTGTGTGAAGTATGATGTAAGATTACTCACTTATCTACACTCAGTGAAGTGTTCATAACACTTATCTTATATATTCACTTTCTCAAAGTTGTACAAGATTCATTTGAAAAACTCATTCTATGTTTGTGAAAATGAATATCACTCTGAGTCTGTGAGATTTATCTTTTTATCAGTTATTCATAATAACTTTGCTTTTCTGTGTAGAAATGTGACAGATCTTAAGACTTGTTAAAATTCTGTTGACTGTCTGTCTGTAAGTTCATGTTTAATCTGATAATATGATTACATCTGACTTAGTCAGCTGATTACAGCATCATTTTTTCAGTCATCATTGAAGCTTGATGACTCTGACAGATCTTTCAGCTTGATATATTTCATGCTCAGATTCTCATCCTGTGCAGTGATCTCTGATAATGTGTATACTTCTGAAGAGATTATGAACAATCATGATGAGATCTTCAGATTCAGTGTAGTTATCTGTCTGTATAAACATTCAATCTCTCACTACAGGTCTAAGACCTGATTTTCTCTATTCTTATTGATGATGATGATTGCATCAGTGAAGCTCTTCATCATGAATACTTGATCTGCAGTGAATGTCAATTGTTGTTTAGCTTTCACCTCAGCCTGCCACTGTGTATGCAAGGTCTCAATTTTGTTTAGAATTCTCATACATGTACAGAGCTTCAATTCCAGTTCAGCAGTTTCAGCTGCTTTTCTTACTGCTTCAAGTAAACCCTCTGAGAGGTTCTGCATATCTTTCAGTTCAGATAGCAGAGAAGAGTATTATTTGTATTAACTAGAGAAGATATTCATTTTGATGATTTCTCATTGATCATACAATATCTATTATTATATTGTTATCTTATTATATCACTATAATATTATATTGCTATATTGTTATATGATTTCTGTTATCATCATACAACTTCAGTGATGATCACCTCTTCTTTTTATCCTTCTTTTGAGTAGAGAGTGAACTTCTTTGAATCTGATTCACTGCTCTCATCTTCTTTCTCACATCTCATTCATTCACATCTCATACATGGCATTTGTCTGAACATGGAGTTTTTCCTTAATAAGTGAAGCAGCATCAATCAGATGCTCTTCTGCTCACTGTTCTTCATACACTATCTTTTGAGACATTTTTAGAACCACACTGACATGATAACTACAAATCACTTTATAGATGGAATTATTACACTCTGAAGGAGTCTGTGCTTCTCATCAGTTTTTAGACATGCTATCAGATGTGATTCAAAGGTTGCTTGAGCCGGTGTATGATTACAGGTGTACGCCGGCTTCTTATATACTGTACACTAAATTAATTGGTGGCCGCTATGGCCCCTTTACATTCGTAAGCAAGTTCGGAAGCGGCCGTGTTATTATCCGGCGGTCGTACGTTCTTCCGAACCACATTCATTCTCATCTGTATCTCATTCAGAAGCCTGCTTTCTCTTGATATTCACAGCTTTCAGAGAATTATCTAACACAGATATCTCTTTCACTTTGCAGCCTTTTCATAGAATATCAGCAAGTGTCTTCAAGCTCAAATGATTCTGCTAGTTTTTTGACTCTCTTACTTCTCTTGACTATGTATACTGTGTGTAATTCTTTATATCATGATTTTAGCATCTGTAGTTGAAACAAGCTCAATACTCATAATATCAAGGTTTTCACTTAGAGAATTTCTTTTTCAGAGAATTCAATGCTTTAATAATAGCATTTAAATCTAGATTCATTGCATCTGAGTGTGTGACTTATATCATAGAAGTCTGATTACTTATTCTTCACTGAGATATACTCAATTGCAGTATTTTCTATCATAATTGACTCACTTATTTCTGTATAATAACAATATTGTATGCTTCTTTCATCATGTCTGATTATAAGATTAAGTCTTTCTATTTCACTCTCAACTCAGATATAAGATCATGAATGAAGATCTGTAAATAGAAAGATATTAAAAGCTCTTCATTTAATACAAGATAGTACAACCTGAAGTGTGTGAAGTATAATATAAAATTATTCACTTATCTATACTCAGTAAAGTATTCATAACACTTATCTTATATATTTACTTTCTTAAAGTTGTGCAACATTGATATGGAAAACTCATTTCATATTCATGAGAATGAATATCACTTCAGATCTGCAAGATTTATCTTTTCATCAGTTATTTATAATAACTTCACTTTTTCATGTAGAAATACAGCAGATCTTAAGACTTGATGAAATTTCCTTAACTGTCTGTCTGTGAGTTCATATTCAATCTGATAATATGATTGCATCTGACTTAGTCAGCTGATTGCAGCATCATTTTTTCAGTCATTATTAAAGCTTGATAACTCTGACAGATCTTCTGACTTGATATATTTCATGCTTAAATTCTCATCATGTCTGGCAGTCTCAGATGATGTGTACACTTCTGAAGAGATTATAAACAATTATAATAAGATCTTTAGATTCAGTGTGATTATCTGTCTCTGTAAATGTTCAATCTTCTATTGCAGATCTTCAATCTGATTTTTCCTATTCTTATTAATGATAATAATTGTGTCAGTGCAGCACTTCATAGTGAATGCTTGATCTGCAGTGAATATCAATTATTGCTTAGCTTCTGTCTCAGTCTGTCACTGTATACACAAGGTCTCAATCTCATTTAGAATTCTTATATGTATATGAAGTTTCACTTCTGATTCAGCAGTCTGAGCTGCTTTTCTTACTGCTTTAAGTAAATTCTCTGAGAGATTCTGCATATCTTCTGATTCAGATAGCAGAGAAGAGTGTTTATATTAATCAGAGAAGATATTCATTTCAGTGATTTCTTGTTAATTATACAATGTCTATTATTATATTATTATATTGTTATATTATTATATAATTATATCATTATATGATTTCTGATTTCGATTTTCTAGTATCATTGTATGACTTCAGTGATAATCATCTCTCTTTTATTCTTTTAAGTAGAGAGTAGTCTTCTTTAAATCTGATTCATCACTCACATTCTCTTTCTCACATCTCATCTATTTGCATACATGACATTTATCTAAGTATGAAGTTTTTTCTCAATAAGCAGAGTAATATTAATCAGATGCTCTTCTATGCACTGCTTCTTCATATACTATCTTTTGAGATGTTTTACAATCACACTAGCATGATAACTACAAATTACTTTAAAGATAGAATTATCATGCTCTGAAGAAGCCTGCACTTCATATCAGTTTTTAGACATGCTATCAGATGTGATTCAAAGAGTGCTTGAATCAGTGTACAATTACAGGTGTACGCCGGCTTCTTATATATATTATACTAAATTAATTAGTGGCCGCTATGGCCCCTTCACATTCGTAAGCATATTCAGAAGTGTAAGCATGTTTGAAAGCGGCGCGTTATTATCGGCGGTCGTACGTTCTCCCGAATCACACACTGAGTTCTCAGATAGAAGCTTACTCATCAGTCACTCTGACTCTGTAACAAGATCTTATGAAGAGAATAAGATCTTATAAAGAGAATGTCAGTAAAAGATCTGAGAGTTCTGATACAGATATATAAGATATTTATACAATTACATATTCAATGAATGATACAGCTATGTCTACTGATAATATAAGAGAACTCTTAAATGTGAGCATAGATACAGTGTCACAGTGACTTTAAACAATGTTAAAATTACAACAGTAATAGATAGTCAATATACATGTGACTTAATAATATCAATACAAGAAAATTCAATAATTATCTCAACTAGAAATCTCTGTATAAGCAATTTAAACACTGACTAAATTAAATATGAATATGTAAGTACTGAAGAAATATCTAGATACTTCTACATATTTTAATACTTCTGATCTCACTCTCTATTCATTATAAAGATTGAAAATGCTTATGAAACTAAGTATAGATAAAGATATCATTGATTTATTAATTAATCAAGATTGATATATCAATGAATAATTGAAGAATTATATAAGACAGAAGTTTCATTTATGAATAAAAGCATGTAAATCAGTATTATAAATATTTGACAATATTATTAAATATCTTGATATTCTGTTCTGAGACACTGCTATACAACAGAAAGTATTAGATTAATTACAGAGTATCTGACAAAGAAATACTTCTCTTATAACATTTATCTCTGACTTTAACACTAAGATTCTAGAAGCAGGTGATCAATCTTGCAAGAATTGAATGAAGATTAGTATGTTCAATGTGGCGGGCTGCGCCCGATCAATCATATAGACTATTCCATTACACTTCATATATTCCGCTGAAAGCTTCAATTCTCGGTCATTCTTGATCACTGATTCTCGGCTGAAAAAACCCACAGAATTTCTATTCTTCTGCTCTGAAGCTCCACCATGTACGCCACTGTGTATGTGTATAACTTTTCACTTCAATCACTGATTCTCATACTTTCTCTTTTCTTTTCTTCTTTAATGTTTTTCACTTTGTTAAATAAGACCTATAAATATCATATCAATCTATTCAGTGTAGGTCTCTTACACTTGAAAAACATTCATTGTCTTCTTAGTAGAAATGATTATTCATTGAGAAGATATCTGAACACATAATAACACATAAGAAATAGAGAAATGATTAAACAGTTAAGTAGATACCAAGTTTCTAGATAGAAGCTTACTTATCAGTCACTCTAACCTCATAATAAGATCTCACAAAGAGAATGTCAGTGAAAGATCTGAGAGTTCTGACATCTTAGACGTATAAGAGATTTATATCATTACATTGCTTTCAATTATATAGATATCACACATCTGATGAACAATATAACTATGTCTAATGATAATATGAGAGAACTCTTGAACATAAGCATAGATGCAGTATCACAGTGACTCTGAGTAATGTTGAAATTACAACAGCAACAGATAGCTGATATGCATGTGACTCAATAACATTAATATGAGGAAATTCAACAATTATTCTAACTAGAAACCTCTGTATAAGCAATTTCAACACTGACTGAATCAGATACAAATATGATATGAGTGCTGAAGAAATGTCTAGACACTTCTACATATTTCAATACTTCTGATCTCACTCTCTATTCATCATAAAGATTGGAAATGCTCATGAAACTAAGTGTAGATGAACATGTCATCAGTTCATTAACTAATCAAGATTGATATATCAATGATTGATTGAAGAATCACATGAGACAGAAGTTTCATTCATGAATAAAGACATGTGAATCAGCATTACATATATCTGATAATATTATCAAATATCTTAATATTCTGTTCTGAGACACTGCTATACAATAGAAGATATTAGATTAATTACAGAGTATCTGACACAGAAATATTTCTCTCACAACATTCATTTCTGATTTTGACACCAAGATTCTACAAGCAGGTGATCAACCTTGAAAGAATAGAATGAAGATTAGCATGGTTAAGAAGACACTAACTTTTGAACTTCTACAGACTCTTATAAGCATAGATGAAGATCAGACTTATAAAGGTTTCTGCATATAACTCTGAGCATTGAATAACTGTCTCATTAAGCTTAAGAGTATACAGAACAGCAGCAGGAGATATTACATTTCAGTCATTCATACATCTGTGTTAAAGAATAATAATACAGATGCTATGAATTTAGTGAACTCAAATATCTATGCATAAACAAGAGTTTTCACTGTCTGAACAGGCTTCTGAGTCCCTGGGATCACACCTGAAGAAGTTGTCAATCAACATTAATGAGAAGTCTGTATCAATTGTAACTCACTAGAA